AGAAATATTAGCTGACAATGTTATTGTGCCATTCAGAAGCAATATAGTATTGTGAGCAAATATTAAGTGTTTTTTTAGAATTGGGATTTTCAGCAAAAGATTGATATAAATGGTGGTGCACCCTGGGCAACGTATACTCATACGGCAAAAAGTCTATTAACTGGCAGTTGACTTCTTACTTCAAACTACCACGACCCCCCTGGTTGTCATATTCGACCCATTTCACTGTACCCACCTTACCTTTTTCTCTACCTTTGTGTCTGTCTGCCTCTTTTACATCTGTGAATCGCTCTTCTCTTCCCCACCCCTCGACTTTCTGCTACTTTGATGAACCTTCCCTCTGTGAAGCCCGAAGTCAGCTAAAGGGCTAATGATAAGTGTCATAAAGTCCGCCATTTGAAATAAATGATGTGAAAGTGTAGTTACACGCAGCGTCCGTTTTCGTCCTAATTTCACGTTTACCGTGGCGAGATTTTGACGGACCAAAAATAATTCCCTCCAATATGGTTGAAAATTATTCTCCCGGGGGGAATTAGGAAATTCGGGGCCATATTTATCAACGACCTCGAACAACATTCTTCAAGGAAAATCAACCTGAACGGGAGCTAAGTGATCCTGACTGGATGGATGAATTGAAGGTGCTGAAACAAATTAGAAAGAGGGGTCAGAGAATGGCCCTAAACAAATTAAATCACGAGAAACCGACAAAATGAAGCAGCATCGTGAACCGAATCCTTCTTCGGTACAGAAGTGAAAGTATAATTGAAACTGGATTATTTCGAGTGAGCGGAGAATGAAGACGTGTTTCTCCTCAACTAAAATTTGAAAGCTGAGAAGCGTTAATGTGTGTGTTGGATGAAAGCACAGAACCCAAAATAGGGGAAATATGAAGAAAACGGAAAATGAAAGACTTGGTGCCACATTTTCAATGGAATTACTAATTAGAATTAATGGCATACTAGAGGTGAATCAATCGCCTAAAGTTAGCAAATAATACTCTTACGAGCATTTTTTGAACTTTTTACTCTTTCGTTGACTAAATAAACTTTTCCTTATACCTCTTCCAGACAACATTGTGCTCTCATAACCTCCCTTATTTGTGCCGGATCATTTCGACAAAAGGATGCTGTAGCTGCCTTACAGAACTACAAACCAACTTTCAATACTAGTTCTTTTCCCCAAGGTGATGGTTGGAAGGAGCTTCTGGAACTGGACGCCAATATTTCCTACTTCTTTCCAGAAAATGGGTGTGCTGGTCTTCCCCGTTCAACCACCAAAGACGAATCACGTCGAAGTAAACGAATAGCATCGAGTAAAAATAACATCTGCCACAAAATCAATTTCAAGGACCTTGTGAAGTCTTCTACTTCTAATGATTCAACAAGTAGTAAGAGTACTCCAATTTCTTAAGTTTATTCAATTTTCACTAGACTGCTACACCGGGAGAGGTATCGATTATCGAGGCACTGCTGCCGGACCACCATCTTGTCTTCCTTGGAACGAACTTGACTACGTCATCTCAAATTTTACCCAAGACCCTTTGACCTATCTCAGCAAATCCTTACTTCCCGCTGAAGCCTTTGATCCCCTTCCTGCTAATCATTCTGTTTGCCGAAATCTCCTAGGCCTAGGCGCCGCACCCTTCTGTATTGGCTTGAACCTACATTCCGGTCGACTTGAAACCATAGACTGTCCTATGCTTGATTGTCAGAACACTGTTTCCTCCACTGTTACTCCGTGTTACACCGAACTCTTGAGAAGACAACGATTTATAAACGTGAGTTATAGTTCTGTCGGAATATAAGATTCTAATAATTGCTTGTGTTTAAATCTCTCTCTCTCTCTGTATTTAGATGATCTCCATAATTACTACGATGACAGCTCTCTTCTTGATAATTCTTTGCATCCTCTTCGCTTATGTTCTGCGTACTTTTCGACGAGAAAAGGTGTGTGTTTCGATAGAAGATGCTAGAGAAACTCGACGTGCACATTTAGTGGCCCGAAGAATTCGACTTCGAGAATCGGGACGTTGTATTCGATGTTTGTTAAGATGTCTCTTTATCCTTGAAGATGTCTGTCGTCGTGTTGAAGTGTCAAAATGTAGTGCTGGGAGAACCGGTCGAGAGAAAGGTCTGACTAAGGTGAGTTTGAAGAATACGTGGGTTCACGTGTGTGTGTGTGTGTGTGTGTGTGTGTGTGTGTGTGTGTGTGTGTGTG